GAACAGGGTTGTGAACAGGGGTTGTGAACAGGGTTGTGAACAGGGGTTTGAACAGGGTTGTGAACAGGGTTGTGAACAGGGTGTTGAACAGGGTTGTGAACAGGGTTGTGAACAGGGGTGTGAACAGGGGTTGTGAACAGGGTTTGTGAACAGGGTTGTGAACAGGGGTGTGAACAGGGTTGTGAACAGGGTTGTGAACAGGGGTTTGAACAGGGTTGTGAACAGGGGTGTGAACAGGTGTTGTGAACAGGGTTTGTGAACAGGGTTGTGAACAGGGTTTGTGAACAGGGTTGTGAACAGGGTTGTGAACAGGGGTGTGAACAGGGTTTGTGAACAGGGTTTGTGAACAGGGTTGAACAGGGTGTGAACAGGGTTGTGAACAGGTTGTGAACAGGGGTGTGAACAGGGGTTGTGAACAGGGTTTGTGAACAGGGGTGTGAACAGGGGTTGTGAACAGGGTTTGTGAACAGGGTTGTGAACAGGGGTGTGAACAGGGTTGTGAACAGGGTTGTGAACAGGGGTTGTGAACAGGGTTGTGAACAGGTTGTGAACAGGGTTGTGAACAGGTTGTGAACAGGGGTTGTGAACAGGGTTGTGAACAGGGTTGTGAACAGGGTTGTGAACAGGGTTTGAACAGGGGTTGTGAACAGGGTTGTGAACAGGGTTGTGAACAGGTTGTGAACAGGTTGTGACAGGGTTGTGAACAGGGTTGTGAACAGGGTTGTGAACAGGGTTGTGAACAGGGTTGTGAACAGGGTGTGAACAGGGGTTGTGAACAGGGTTGTGAACAGGGTTGTGAACAGGGGTTGTGAACAGGGTTGTGAACAGGGTTTGTGAACAGGGGTTGTGAACAGGGGTTGTGAACAGGGGTTGTGAACAGGGTTTGTGAACAGGGTTGTGAACAGGGTTGTGAACAGGGGTTGTGAACAGGGTTTGTGAACAGGGTTTGTGAACAGGGTTGTGCACAGGGTTGTGAACAGGGTTGTGAACAGGGGTTGTGAACAGGGTTGTGAACAGGGTTGTGAACAGGTTTGTGAACAGGGTTGTGAACAGGTTTGTGAACAGGGGTTGTGAACAGGGTTGTGAACAGGGTTGTGAACAGGGTTGTGAACAGGGGTTGTGAACAGGGTTGTGAACAGGTTTGTGAACAGGGTTGTGAACAGGTTTGTGAACAGGGGTTGTGAACAGGGTTGTGAACAGGGTTGTGAACAGGGTTGTGAACAGGGGTTGTGAACAGGGTTTGAACAGGGTTGTGAACAGGGTTGAACAGGGTTGTGAACAGGGTTGTGAACAGGGTTGTGAACAGGGTTGTGAACAGGGTTGTGAACAGGTTGTGAACAGGGTTTTGTGAACAGGGGTTGTGAACAGGGTTGTGAACAGGTTGTGAACAGGGTTGTGAACAGGGTTGTGAACAGGGTTGTGAACAGGGTTGTGAACAGGGTTGTGAACAGGGGTTGTGAACAGGGTTGTGAACAGGGTTGTGAACAGGGTTGTGAACAGGGTTGTGAACAGGGTTGTGAACAGGGTTTGTGAACAGGTTTGTGAACAGGGTTGTGAACAGGGTTGTGAACAGGGGTGTGAACAGGGTTGTGAACAGGGTTTGTGAACAGGGTTTGTGAACAGGGGTTGTGAACAGGGTTGTGAACAGGGTTGTGAACAGGGTTGTGAACAGGGTTTGTGAACAGGGTTGTGCACAGGGTTGTGAACAGGATTGTGAACAGGGTTGTGAACAGGGTTGTGCACAGGGTTTGTGAACAGGGTTGTGCACAGGGTTGTGAACAGGGTTGTGAACAGGGTTGTGAACAGGGTTGTGAACAGGGTTTGTGAACAGGGTTGTGCACAGGGGTGTGAACAGGGTTGTGAACAGGGGTTGTGAACAGGGTTTGTGAACAGGGGTTGTGAACAGGGTTGTGAACAGAGTTGTGAACAGGGGTTGTGAACAGGGTTGTGAACAGGGTTGTGAACAGGGGTGAACATTTGTGAAAAGGGTTGTGAACAGGGGTGTGAACAGGGTTTGTGAACAGGGTTGTGAACAGGGTTTGTGAACAGGGTTGTGAACAGGGTTTGTGAACAGGGTTGTGAACAGGGTTGTGAACAGGGGTTGTGAACAGGGTTGTGAACAGGGTTGTGCACAGGGTTTGAACAGGATTGTGAACAGGGTTGTGAACAGGGTTGTGAACAGGGTTGTGAACAGGGGTTGTGAACAGGGTTGTGCACAGGGTTGTGAACAGGGTTGTGAACAGGGTTGTGAACAGGGGTTGTGAACAGGGTTGTGCACAGGGTTGTGAACAGGATTGTGAACAGGGTTGTGAACAGGTTTGTGACCAGGGGTTGTGAACAGGGTTGTGAACAGGGTTGTGAACAGGGTTGTGAACAGGGTTTGTGAACAGGGGTTGTGAACAGGGTTGTGAACAGGGTTGTGAACAGGGTTGTGAACAGGGTTGTGAACAGGGTTTGTGAACAGGGGTTGTGAACAGGGTTGTGAACAGGGTTGTGAACAGGGTTGTGAACAGGGTTGTGAACAGGGTTGTGAACAGGGTTGTGAACAGGGTTTGTGAACAGGGGTTGTGAACAGGGTTTGTGACAGGGTTGTGAACAGGGTTGTGAACAGGGTTGTGAACAGGGTTTGTGAACAGGGTTTGTGAACAGGGGTTGTGAACAGGGTTGTGAACAGGGTTGTGAACAGGGTTTGTGAACAGGGGTTGTGAACAGGGTTGTGAACAGGGGTTGTGAACAGGGTTGTGAACAGGGGTTGTGAACAGGGTTTGTGAACAGGGTTGTGAACAGGGTTGTGAACAGGGTTTGTGAACAGGGTTGTGAACAGGGTTGTGAACCTTCACTGGTGCTGTAGTGGTCAGCGCTGCACTGCGCTAACCACTGCAGCACCAGTGACGATGATTCTGAACCGTTACTGGGCATCCTCTAGGTCGACTCAGCCTCAAATGCGTACCTGGCCGGTGTGTAAACGTCGCCACTGGGGAGACAAAGGCGGCCGGGCGTGGTGCTGGCCACCCACCCCCTCGTGTGCCGTGCCGGCCTTCATAGGTGTTACCCGCTAACAGCACTTGCCCCAATAGTCCGTGAAGGCTACACGGGGGATCTTTGTCTTTGTTTGGTGAACCCCAGACGAACCCACCAGGGTGCCGGTTGGATTCGTGTCACCGGCACGGTCATTACGACCCCCTGTCTCTCTCTCTGTCTCTCTCTCTGTCTCTCTGTCTCTCTCTCTGTCTCTCTCTCTGTCTGTCTCTCTGTCTGTCTCTGTCTCTCTCTCTGTCTCTCTCTGTCTGTCTCTCTGTCTGTCTCCTCTCCCTGTGTCTCTGTCTCTCTGTATGTCTCTCTCTGTCTCTCTGTCTGTCTCTCTGTCTCTCTCTCTGTCTGTCTCTCTGTCTGTCTCTCTGTCTCGCTCTCTGTCTCTCTCTCTGTCTCTCTGTCTCTCTCTCTGTCTGTCTCTCTGTCTCTCTCTGTCTCTCTTCTGTCTGTCTCTCTGTCTGTCTCTGTCTCTCTCTCTGTCTCTCTCTGTCTGTCTCTCTGTCTGTCTCTCTCTCCCTGTGTCTCTGTATCTCTGTATGTCTCTCTCTGTCTCTCTGTCTGTCTCTCTGTCTGTCTCTGTCTGTCTCTCTCTCTGTCTCTGTCTCTCTCTCTCTGTCTCTGTCACCGCGAGCACGACACCTTCAGTGAGCTTCAGCAGTGCGATGATCAACGCGTCTGCTGCCAGCCAAGGCCGGCCGGGCTGCTGATGAGGCACTCGAACGCCGAAGCCGCTTCTCGAACGCGCTTTGCCTGCGCCGAATCGGGTCCGCCGCTTGCTGGTGGCATGCACGCTCGCAGAATGCTCGACGGCTGATGGGATGTGTCGAATAAATATATATATACACTTGTATTTGTAGAGGGCACACTGTGAGAAGGAAGGCCTCTGGCTGCTGAATCGTTGGTAGGTTATAAGTGTGACGGTGAAACGTTCGTCTCAGCAAGGCGGCATCCGCCGTGCATCCAACTCCCTCGGCTCCCACTTGACCAGCAGGGCGGGAGCGCATCAATCAGGGTCCACCCCTCCCCCCTCCTCCACCCCTCCCCCTTCTCCCCCCTCCCCCTCCTCCCACACCCCCTCCCCCCTTCTCACCCCCTTCTCCCCCCTTCTCCTCCCTCCCACCTCCTCCCACCCCTCCCACCCCTCCCCCCTCCTCCCACCCCTCCCACCCTCCTCCCACCCCCTCCGCCTTCTCACACCCCTCCCCCCTTCTCCCACCCTCCGCCTTCTCACCCCCCTCCCTTCTCTTCAGCACCCCACCTTCCATGGATTATCATCTCTCATTACTGTACTCCCCCATCCACACTCAGCGCCCCCGCCCCCTCGTCTCCCTCCCCTCTACCCGCTCCCCCCCCCTCCCCGCCGCCCCTAGAGCCCTCTCGTCCCCCTCTCCCCATTCATCTTTCCCCTTCCCACCTCCAACCCCCCTCACCTCCCTTCCCCTGCCCCCTCCCCTGCCCCTCTTCACCCTTCTCCCCCCGTCTCCCCCCTTCATCACCCGCTAGCCTATTCCTCCCCCCTCCCCTCTATCCCCCCTCCCCTCTAACCCCCCCTCCCCTCTACCCCCCTCCCCTGCTACCCCCCGCCCCTCTACCCCCCCGTCCCCTCGTACCCCCCCCCTCCCGCATATCATCCCCCCTCCCTCTATCCCCCCTCCCCTCTATCCCCCCTCCCCTCTATCCCCCTCCCCGCTATCCCCCCTCCCCTCTACCCCCCCCTCCCCTCTACCACCCCCCTCCCCTCTATCCCCCCTCCCCGCTATCCCCCTCCCCTCTACCCCCCCTCCCCTCTACCCGCCCCTCCCCGCTACCCCCCTCCCTCTACCCCCCCTCTCCGCTACCCCCCCCTCCCCTCTACCCCCCCCTCCCCTCTACCCCCCCTCCCCTCTACCCCCCCTCTCCGCTACCCCCCCTCCCCGCTATCCCCCCTCCCCTCTACCCCCCACGCCCCGCCCCCCATCCCGCGGCAGCATCTGTGCGCTCAGAGCTCCAGGTGGCGAGCCGCTTCACGCAGCCGCTCATTGTGAACTCCTCCGCGGTCGCGACGCGGTCCGTCGCTTTCCGCCTCCTGCTCGTGCGAGCGGGCAAGTGCGCCCTGGGGGCACTCATCCCCCCGCAATGCCCTGGGGGCAATCTGCCCCCCGCAATGCCCTGGGGGCTCTCTGCCCCCCCCCCCCATAATGTCCTGGGGGCTCTCTGCCCCCCCCCCCCCACAATGCCCTGAGGGCACTCTTCCCCCCCGCAATGCCCTGAGGGCACTCTGCCCCCCGAAATGCCCTGGGGGCTTTGGCTTCAGCAGTGAACTCAGGAGCCAGGGGATTGTCTCGATCCGCGTGCGAGAGCGAGTCAGGCGGCCGAGTAATTGACTCCGGGAAAGATTTTCAGATATTTGACACTCGCAAGCAAGGCTCTCGTTATGTCAGCGATGGGGCATTTCGCAACGCCTCCGAGTCGTTTCCCCACTTTAACAAGAACAACAATAAAACCGGTGGGAGGCTCCCCGTTGTAAAGAATTGCACTCGAGATGACGAGTCGCCTTGAACGGCACACGGAAGAGGACACCACAGAGCTACCTCCGAGTTCGTTGAGTGACGCTGCCGTCCACGCACAGTCGAGGGCATGGCTCCTCACACGCTGCCCTGCCCCACGAGGGCACGGCTCCTCACACGCGGCCCTGCCCCACGGGGCAGACGGCTCCTCACACGCGGCCCTGCCCCACGGGGCAGTCGGCTCCCCACACGCTGCCCTGCCCCACGGGGCAGTCGGCTCCTCACACGCTGCCCTGCCCCACGGGGCAGTCGGCTCCTCGCACGCTGCCCTGCCCCACGGGGCAGTCGGCTCCTCGCACGCTGCCCTGCCCCACGGGGCAGTCGGCTCCCCACACGCTGCCCTGCCCCACGGGGCAGTCGACTCCTCGCACGCTGCCCTGCCCCACGGGGCAGTCGGCTCCTCACACGCTGCCCTGCCCCACGGGGCAGTCGGCTCCCCACACGCTGCCCTGCCCCACGGGGCAGTCGACTCCTCGCACGCTGCCCTGCCCCACGGGGCAGTCGGCTCCTCACACGCTGCCCTGCCCCACGGGGCAGTCGGCTCCCCGCAGGGCGGTCAGGACGAGGTTGTTGCCCCGCGCCGCTGCAACGAAGCCCGACGGTGCCCAGCCACGAGCTGACTGCGGGTGGTGTGTGGCGTGCGGTCACTGGTGGCCGATCCGAGGCTATCAACTCGCGACACTTGAGAACCCGGTTTACTCACAACTCGGTCTCTGTGCGAGTCTATGGGTCTCTGTGCGAGTCTATGGGTCTCTGTGCGAGTCTATGGGTCTCTGTGCGAGTCTATGGGTCTCTGTGCGAGTCTATGGGTCTCTGTGCGAGTCTATGGGTCTCTGTGCGAGTCTATGGGTCTCTGTGCGAGTCTATGGGTCTCTGTGCGAGTCTATGGGTCTCTGTGCGAGTCTATGGGTCTCTGTGCGAGTCTATGGGTCTCTGTGCGAGTCTATGGGTCTCTGTGCGAGTCTATGGGTCTCTGTGCGAGTCTATGGGTCTCTGTGCGAGTCTATGGGTCTCTGTGCAAGTCTATGGGTCTCTGTGCGAGTTAATGGGTCTCTGTGCGAGTCTGTGGGTCTCTGTGCGAGTTAATGGGTCTCTGTGCGAGTCTATGGGTATCTGTGTGAGTCTATGGGTCTCTGTGCGAGTCTGTGGGTTTCTGTGTGAGTCTATGGGTCTCTGTGCGAGTTAATGGGTCTCTGTGCGAGTCTATGGGTCTCTGTGTGAGTCAATGGGTCTCTGTGTGAGTCTGTGGGTCTCTGTGTGAGTCTGTGGGTCTCTGTGCGAGTTAATGGGTCTCTGTGCGAGTCTATGGGTCTCTGTGCGAGTCTATGGGTCTCTGTGCGAGTCTATGGGTCTCTGTGCGAGTTAATGGGTCTCTGTGCGAGTCTATGGGTCTCTGTGCGAGTCTATGGGTCTCTGTGCGAGTCTATGGCTCTCTGTGTGAGTCTACGTGTCTCTGTGTGAGTCTATGGTCTATGTGCGAGTCTATGGACCTCTGTGCGAGTCTATGAGTCTTTGTGTGAGTCTATGGATCCCTTTATGGGTCTTTGTGCGAGTCTATGGGTCTCTGTGCGAGTCTATGGGTCTCTGTTTGAGTCGATGTGTCTCTGTGTGAGTCTATGCATCTCTGTGCGACTTAAAACACAGTGGGGGGGGGGGGGCGCGCTCACACGAACCCCACCCAGAGATGGGGGCCAGAGTCGGTCATTGCACCCAACTCCCTTCTTGCTGCAGCCACCCTGCACCCTATGAACTGCCCCGTGTCTGTGCCCCCCCCCCTTGCCCACGACGCAGGAGGCGGGTGCCAGGGGGGTGTGGGCCCCCAGCCCCTCCACGCCCGCCCCGCGATGCCCCTTCAGCACCCGGCAGCAGCAGCAGGAGGACTCAAGAACTTCCTCCCCTTCCCAGGGGAGGGCGCGCCCACGAGACTCAGCCTCTTCCACAACTTCCCGAATGTGAGCGGCCTCCTAAGACAGCGGTCACCCGTGCAGCCTTCGCAGACTGTCAGGGCAAGTGCTGTGGGTGATGTGAAACACAAAGATAAAGATTGACCCCGTGTAGCCTTCACAGACTGTTAGGGCAAGTGCTGTGGGTGATGTAAAAGACAAAGATAAAGATTGCCCCCCCCCCCCGTATAGCCTTAAGAGACTGTCAGGGCAAGTGCTGTGGGTGATGTAAAGCACAAAGATAAAGATTGCCCCCGTATAGCCTTCACAGACTATCAGGGCAAGTGCTGTGAGTGATGTTGAAGACAAAGATAAAGATTGCCCCCCGTGTAGCCTTCACAGACTATCAGGGCAAGTGCTGTGAGTGATGTTAAAGACAAAGATAAAGATTGCCCCCTGTATAGCCTTCACAGACTATCAGGGCAAGTGCTGTGAGTGATGTTAAAGACAAAGATAAAGATTGCCCCCCGTGTAGCCTTCACAGACTATCAGGGCAAGTGCTGTGAGTGATGTTAAAGACAAAGATGAAGATTGCCCCCCGTGTAGCCTTCACAGATTGTTAGGGCAAGTGCTGTTAAAGATACACCGACACACACTAACACAGACAAAGATCCCCCGTGTAGCCTTCCCAGATTGTTAGGGCAAGTGCTGTTAAAGATACACCGACACACACTAACACAGACAAAGGTCCCCCGTGTACCCTTCACAGACTGTTAGGGCAGGGGCTGTGGGTGATGTAAAACACAAAGATAAAGATTGCCCCCTTATAGCCTTAAGAGAATGTCAGGGCAAGTGCTGTGTGTGATATAAAAGACAAAGATAAAGATTCCTCCCGTATAGCCTTCACAGACTGTTAGGGCAAGTGCTGTGGGTGATGTAAAACACAAAGATAAAGATTGCCCCCCCTGTATAGCCTTCACAGACTGTTAGGGCAAGTGCTGTTAAAGATACACCGACACACACTAACACAGACAAAGATCCCCCGTGTAGCCTTCACAGACTGTTAGGGCAAGTTCTGTGGGTGATGTAAAACTCAAAGCTAAAGATTGCCCCCTGTATAGCCTTCACAGACTGTTAGGGCAAGTGCTGTGAGTGATGTTAAAGACAAAGATAAAGATTGCCCCCCCCGTATAGCCTTAAGAGACTGTCAGGGCAAGTGCTGTGGGTGATGTAAAGCACAAAGATAAAGATTGCCCCCGTATAGCCTTCACAGACTATCAGGGCAAGTGTTGTGAGTGATGTTAAAGACAAAGATAAAGATTGCCCCCCCCCGTATAGCCTTAAGAGACTGTCAGGGCAAGTGCTGTGGGTAATGTAAAACACAAAGATAAAGATTCCTCCCGTGTAGCCTGTCACAGACTGTCGGGGCAAGTGCTGTTGAGTGGCAAGTAGCTGCACCGATGAAGGCCGCCACAGTGGCACGCCAGGCGAGCACCACGCCCGGCCGCCTTTGTCTCTCCAGTGGCGATGTTTACCGCACACCGCACCCGGCTACTCAGTTACGACTTGAGTCGACCCGAAGCAACAACAATCTCTACAACGTGGTACCTAATTTTATCCACCCGCCCATAGGGATGAGCCATCACCAGAGGGAGATGGGAGAGAGATGAAGAGGGGGAGGGAGGTGATGGTGTAGAGGGAGATGGGAGAGAGATGAAGATGGGGAGGAAGGTGATGGTGCAGAGGGAGATGGGAGAGAGATGAAGAGGGGGAGGTGATGGTGTAGAGGGAGATGGGAGAGAGATGAAGATGGGGAGGAAGGTGATGGTGCAGAGGGAGATGGGAGAGAGATGAAGAGGGGGAGGTGATGGTGTAGAGGGAGATGGGAGAGAGATGAAGATGGGGAGGAAGGTGATGGTGCAGAGGGAGATGGGAGAGAGATGAAGAGGGGGAGGTGATGGTGTAGAGGGAGATGGGAGAGAGATGAAGATGGGGAGGAAGGTGATGGTGCAGAGGGAGATGGGAGAGAGAGGGGGAGGAAGGTGATGGTGCAGAGGGAGATGGGAGAGAGAGGGGGAGGAAGGTGATGGTGTAGAGGGAGATGGGAGAGAGAGGAAGATGGGGGAGGAGGTGATGGTGTAGAGGGAGATGGGAGAGAGAGGGAGAAGGGGGAGGGAGGTGTAGAGGGAGATGGAGAGAGACGGGGAGAGAGAGAGGAAGAGGGGGGAGGAGATCGCCGGGTGAGAGGGAGATAGAGGAGAGGAAGAGCGAACTAGGGGAGAGAGAGAGAGAGGAAGATGGGGGGGGTAGGAGGGTGGTGGTGGTGGTGGGGGAGAGAGACAGGAGAGAGATGGGGAGAGATGGGGAGGAGAGGAAAGAGGAGGGTGAGAGAGCGCGCGAGAGGAAATGATGAGCAGCACGTGAGAGAGACACGTGGGGGGGGGGGGGGGGCGATGGACAGGAGGAGCTCGCGGGGAGATGGAGCCGCTTGGGATCTCGGTTATTTCTGTTCCGGCGACATCACCGGAGACGCGGAGTCGGCGCGTGCGCGCAGAGACCTCGCAGAGCGCGCGTGGGGAGCGGTGGTGCAGCGGTTAGCGCGCTGCGCTGCGAACCCGGCGACCCCAGTTCGATTCCCGCTCACGGCCGACACCGGCGACGATTACCTGCAGCGGTCCTGAGCCTCCCCTAGGTCGACTCAGCCTCAATTGAGTGCTTAGTGCGGTGTGTAAGCGTCGCCACTAGGGAGACAAAGGCGGTCGGGCGTGGTGCTGGCCACCCACCCCCTCGTGTGCTGTACCAGTCTTCATTAGGTGCTCGCTAACAGCACTTGCCCCAACAGTCTGTTAAAGGCTACACGGGGGAATCTTTGTCTTTGTGTGTACGCACGTGAATGGAGCCCATAGCTCACACAGAAACAGAGCCCTTACCGATAACCATCCGGCCTGCACACCAGCCAGGGGCTCAAGCGAAGCCTGACTGCTGATGAGACACCCAGTGTCGAAGCCGCTGCGGAGTCGTGCTCGTGCCGAGCCAGCGCTGCTGAAACTGGTGCGCGTGCGCGGGGGGGCTCATGGGATGTGTCGAGAGAAGAAAAAACGACCATAGCGTTCATTTGCGAGCAGGTGGAAGAAGTGCCTGCCGAGTTCGATTCTTACTGGCGGGCACGTCCCTTGGACGTAACCCCCCCCCGTGCCCCCCCATGCCCCCCCCCCTCTCAGATGGATCCGGTACAGAAGGCGGTCATCAACCACACGTTCGGGGTGACTCCGGCTCCACGCAAGCGACAGATCATCACCTGCAGCCTGTGCCAGATCAGGTTCAACTCCCAGGTAAGGCGGGTCCCCCCCCCCCCCACACACACACACGAAATTAGACAATGATCCCCCGTGTAGCCTTTACAGACTGTGGAGGCAAGTGCTGTTCGTGAACACAGACCCACAAAGAGTTCCATAGACTCACACAGATATTCACAGACTCACACAGAGACCCATAGACTCGCCCAGAGACCCACAGACTCACACAGAGACCCATAGACTCACACAGAGACCCATAGACTCACACAGAGACCCATAGACTCACACAGAGACCCATAGACTCACACAGAGACCCAGTGACTCACACAGAGATCCATAGACTCACACAGAGACCCATAGACTCACACAGAGACCCATAGACTCACACAGAGACCCATATACTCACACAGAGACCCACAGACTCACACAACGACCCATAGACTCACACAAAGATCCATAGACTCACACAGAGATCCATAGACTCACACAATAACGCTGCTATTTGTGGTCGCAAAAGAAAACAAAATAAACACTCTGTGACGTTTCGGGCAGTGGCCCTTCTTCAGAGCGACTTGACTCTCCCCCTCTGGCTTCTCCTAAGTGTTGTGAAGCAGGGCCATTGCCCGAAACGTCGCACACCACTGCACGGCGGTGGTGTTATTATTATTGACACGGAACTTGCGTGTCTGTGTGAATTTTTTGTTGATCGACGAAATAAACTAATTTACGTTCAGAGTAATAAAAGGCGTATCAACTATTCCCATTGCTAACGCAGTTGCTGCTGCTGCAGTTGCTGCTGTTATTGCAACTGCAGTTGCTGCTGCTGCTCCAGTTGCTGCTGCAGTTGCTGCTGTTATTGCAGCTGCAGTTGCTGCTGCTGCAGTTGCTGCTGCAGTTGCTGCTGTTATTGCAGCTGCAGTTGCTGCTGCTGCTGCAGTTCCTTGCTGCAGTTGCTGCTGTTATTGCAGCTGCAGTTGCTGCTGCAGTTGCTGCTGCTATTGCATCTGCTGCAGTTGCTGCTGCAGTTGCTGCTGCTGTTGCTGTTGCAGTTTCTGCTGCAATTGCTGTAGTTGCTGCTGCAATTATTTCTGCAGTTGCTTCTGCAGTTGTTGCTGCAGTTGCTGCTGCAGTTACTGCAGCTGTTGCTGTTGCTGCTGCTGCGGTTGCTGCAGTTGTTGCTGCAGTTGCTGCTGCAGTTGCTGCAGTTGTTGCTGCTGCTGCTGCAGTTGCTGCTGCTGTTGCTGCAGCTGTTGCTGCTGCAGCGGCGTCGGCATCTGGCAGAGGGAAGGGAGCGATGGCGAGTCCGCGCCACGCTGGCCGACTCCCCGCCCGTGTCACGTGGTCGACTCCCCGCCCGTGCCACGTGGTCGCGGTGACCCGGCCGATGCCGCCAGGGACCTTCAGCAACATCGCCCCCTCGTGACGTCACCGTGCCCATAGTTGTGCAACACCTTTGGGGGGCGGGGGCCACGGGGGGTAGGGGGGGGTTGGAGATGGGGGCGGGGGCCACGGGGGGTAGGGGGGGGTTGGAGGTGGGAACGGGGGGCACGGGGGGTGGGGGGTTGGAGATGGGGGGGGGGGAACGAACTCTGTAATTGCCCCCCCAGGGAGCTCGAAAGACACCGGGACGACGTCTTCTTCTCCCGGCCTAACGACTCCCATTGTTGGCGGCCTCTCGTTATAAATACTACACTCGTGTGTGTGTACACGTGTGTGTGTCTGTGTGTGGCTGTGTGTACACGTGTGTGTGTGTCTGTGTGTGTACACGTGTGTGTGTCTGTGTGTACACGTGGCTGGCTGTGTGTGTGTCTGTGTGTGTGTACACGTGTGTGTGTGAACACGTGTATGTGTCTGTGTGTGTGTGTCTGTGTGTGTACACGTGTGTGTGTGTACACGTGTGTGTGTGTCTGTGTGTGGCTGTGTGTGTGATTGTGTGTGTGGGACGCGGTAGTGTAGCGGTTAGCGCGCTGCGCTACGAACCTGGTGACACCGGGTTCAATTCCCGCTCACGGCCAACACCAGTGGCGATTATCTGAACAGGTCCTGGGCCTCCCCTAGGTCGACTCAGCCTCAAATGAGTACCTGGTGCGAAGTGTAAACATCGCCACTGGGGAGATAAAGGCGGCCGGGCGTGGTGTTGGCCACCCACCCCCTCGTGTGCAGTGCCGACCTTTATAGGTGCTCGCTAACAGCACCTGCCCCAACAGTCTGTTCAGGCTACACGGGGGATCTTTGCCTTTGGCTGTGTGTGTGACTGTGTGTGCCAGAGGACATCCTTCATGATGGTGGGCAGGTCCGGATAAGGCTACGTCGCGAGGAGTCGGAGCCATTCCCTGTTCACCTTGGGGTGCGACAGGGATGTCCTCTGGCTCCCACATTTATTTCGACCACGCAGTTCGTGAAGCCTTCGATGGCTGTACCGGAGGAATTTCCATCTGGTACAGATACAACGGGAAGCAGATCGATACTCGGCGAGGTAGTTAACATCTCCTAGCCACCATGATGATGATGATGAGATAGAGACACGCAACATCCAAATATACAGCAGCAGATATCAGGATCGGGATGGAACCCACGACCTCCTGTATACCAGGCGAGGTAGTTAACATCTCCTAGCCACCGAGTTGATGATGATGATGACAGAGTGAGAGACACGCAAACTCCAAATATACAGCAGCAGGCGTCAGGGTCGGGATCGAACCCACGACCTCCTGTACACCAGGCGAGGTAGTTAACATCTCCTAGCCACCGTGATGATGATGATGAGAAAGAGACACGCAAACTCCAAATATACAGCAGCAGGCGTCAGGGTCGGGATGGAACCCACGACCTCATATAGACCAGGCGAGGTAGTCAACATATCCTAGCCACCGTGATGATGATGAGAGCGAGAGAGACACGCAAACTCCAAAATATACAGCAGTAGTTAACATCCCACAATGCCCTCTACGGCTGTGGCATCTCCTGAGCTCTCTCGGGTGAAGGTAGATGCCGCTTCTTCCGACAGCAGCGAGCACGGCTGTGCCTTGAACATAAACATTTTAACGCACAATACTGTCTCGATATGAATATATAAATCCGCCTCATCGCTAATAATATCCTCACAAAGAAGCCAAATGAAGGGTGCGTGTGTTTTAGTTCAGCCGGCAACTCATCGTCAGGATCTGTCTTTGTCGCGGAGCAATCCGATGAGGTGTGAAGCTCTGTTTGACAGGATCTGTCCTGCGACTGGGGTCAAACACGTGTCCCCACGTGTCCCCACGTGTCCACACGTCTCCCCATGCGGCACACCACATCCACTTACGTACCCCCCCCCCCCCCCCCCGTCTTCCTCCTCTCTCTGCCTGTGAGCTCCATTCCTCGCGAGAGCAGCCCGGGTCTTGTTGAACTCAGGCTCTGAGCGCTGCTGAGTTCACGAATCCGACATGGCCATTATGACCACCCACCACCACCCCCCACTGCACTACAGTAGCAGAGGTGGGTTGGGGGGGGGCGGGCGGTGCGATTATCAGCGGCTCCCCCCCCCCCCCCCCACTCGTCTCCTCCTTCCGAGGAATCTTTCAGATCCCCCCCCACCCGCCCCCCCACCCGCCCCTTCCCCGCCCCCGCCCCCCGCCCCATCTCATTACTTACGGCAATTTTATATATTTTTTCGCTGACTCAGCGCCTCAATTTGGCGAGTAACAATGACCTCCATTCACCGGGGGAGTCGGACGCGGCCGGCCCACGCGGTGCCTGGCCCCGGCCATAGGAACGTCGACGGAGCGAGGGGCCAGCGCCTCCGCGAGATCGTTCCCTGCGATGGCACGCGGAAGATACGCGCGATATCCAAAGTCTGTCCAATTGTACTGCGGTGCTCGGGGCTATTGTTAGGGGGGTTACACAATGGGGCTGCTACTAGCGGATACGGGCATAGGGGGCGGGGGGGGGGTAAGGGGTGGAGGTACCCCTCTCTAGGGGGGTACCCCCCCCCCTCTCCAAGGGGATACCCACACCTCCTTCAATGCCTCTCACCGTCTCTCTGTCATCGCCGCCGTCATTAAGTCTGAGCCCCGGGGAGCCTTGACGTGAACCCCCCTCGCCATCTCAGCGCCCCATCGGCATCGCCATGCGCCGTGGAATGTGCATGAATAGCGGGGTCTGTTCCTCTGTGTGTGTCGGGGGGGGGCGGGGTGGAGCGGTGGTGCAGCGGTTAGCGCTACGCTGCGCTACGAACCGGGCGAACCCGAGTTCGATTCCCGCTCGCGGCCACCAACGCCGGTGACGATTAATCGGAACCGGTGCTGCCCCCCTCCTAGGTCGACTCAGCCGCACATGAGTACCTGGCGCGGTTTGTAGTAAACATCGCCACTGGGGAGACAAAGGCGGCCGGGCGTGGTGTCGGACACGTGCCCGGCTTAACGGCACTTGACCCAAGCCTTGTGAAGGCTACACGGGGCACCTTTGTCCGTGCGTTCCAATGGGGCTGCCCTGGCCCTGTGGGAGCCTCTGGCCTCCTCCAGAGGGCCCTGCAGAGGGTACTTGGCCTCCTCTTCCTTTGAAGCGGTGCGGTCACCCACATTCTACCCCACACACACTGATCTGTACCGCGGGGTGGACAGAGGCAGGAGGGGTGGGGGGGAGGGGGAGGGGGGTGAGGGTGGGGGGGTGAGTGTGGGGGGGAGGGGGGTGAGGAGGGAGGGGGGGTGAGGGTGGGGGGTGGGGGTGAGGGTGGGGGGGAGGGGGGTGGGCATCTATGAAACTCGCCCCCATTGTTTGAACTCCGCGCAGGGAGATGGAACCGAGCGGGCGACTCTCTGGGTCTGCGCGTCTCCCCCTCGCGCGTGCACGTGGAGATATTCTGTCTCGCCGCGTCTGTGTGTGTGCCCCCCCCACCGTGTCTCACCGCGTCTCTGTGTTTCTCCACGTGTCCCCTCTGTGCCCCCCCCGTGTCTCCCCGTGTCTCCCCCTGTCTGTGTCCCCCCGTGCCCCCCCCCCCCGTGTCTCCCCCTGTCTGTGTCCCCCCGTGCCCCCCCCGTGTCTCCCCCTGTCTGTGTCCCCCCGTGCCCCCCCCGTGTCTCCCCCTATGCCCCCCCCCCGTGTCCCCCCCCCCCCCCCCGTGTCTCCGCACCCAGAACCAGGCGGACGCGCACTTCCAGGGCACCAAGCACGGCAGGAGGCTGCGGGCTATGGAGTCGGGCAAGGTGAAGATGGAGTCGGCCAAGGTGGTGAAGATGGAGTCGGCCAAGGTGAAGAAGGTCGCCGAGGGCCCGGGGGGAGGGGCCACTCGCCAGGGGGCGCCCCAAGAGGCTCCGGAGGGCGCGGATGAAGGTGGGGGGGGGCGTCAACCGTGACATGATGGCAGTGCTGATGATGATGGTGGTGGTGGTGCTGATGATGATGGTGGTGGTGCTGCTGCTGATGATGGTGGTGGTGCTGATGATGGTGGTGGTGGTGCTGCTGATGGTGGTGGTGGTGGTGCTGATGATGATGGTACTGCTGCTGATGATGGTACTGATGATGATGATGGCATTGCTGATTATGGTGGTGGTACTGATGATGATGATGATGGTACTGATGATATTGATGATGATACTGATGATGATGGTACTGATGATGATGGTACTGCTGATGATCATAGTACTGATGCTGATGATGGTGCTGCTGCTGATGATGGTACTGATGATGATGATGGTACTGATGATGATGATGATGGCATTGCTGATTATGGTGGTGGTACTGATGATGATGATGGTACTGATGATGATATTGATGATGATACTGATGATGATGCTACTGATGATGATGGTGCTACTGATGATCATAGTACTGATGCTGATGATGATGGTGCTGCTGCTGATGATGGTACTGATGATGATGATGGTACTGATGCTGATGATGATGGTACTGCTGATGATGATGCTACTGCTGATGGTGATGCTACTGCTGATGAGCATCGTCATGGACACTTGAACCCCTTTGACGATGCTGCTGCTGCTGCTGCTGCGTTGTTGGTGGTGCACAAACAACAACAACAACACACTCCGTGTCAATAACAGCAAACGCCGGGTGTATGTGGTCTTAAAAGGCAATATATATTTATATGACAGGCGACGTTTCGGCCAACGGCCCTTCCTCTTCACGGAAGCCCCAGCAGAGCGAGACAGAGAGAGACAGAGAGTGTATGACGAGGGGGGTGGGGGGGGGGCTGTTGTTGTTGTTGTTGACGGACGCGTTGAGCCGATGGGCGGCACCCCGTGTCTCTCGCCCTCTGCACCACCAGAACAACAACAACAGCAGCAGCTGCAGCAACAACAACAACAACCTCCCTGCAACAACAGCATCAGCAGCATCAGCAGCATCATGAGCAACGCAAGCTCACCACCACCACCAGCAACAACAACAACGATGACGACGACGTCACCGACGTCGTCACCCGCCCCCCCGAACGACCTCGCAAAGGGACCCGACCCCCCAGCGAGGGGGCTCAGCCCCCACGCCGAGCCCCTCCCCCCGGCGCCCCCCACGGGGGTCTCCGCGGGGCCCCCCACGGGGGGGGGCCCCACCGCCAAGGCGGAGAGCGAGGAAGAGAAGGCCAAGCGACTGCTGTACTGCGCCCTCTGCAAGGTGGCGGTGAACTCGCAGTCTCAGCTAGAGGCGCATTACAAAGGTAGCTCGCGACACGGAGAATACGGTAACAGCACAACGCACTCGTTTACACGTGGGGGCTGCGGTAGAGTGAATACGGTAATGCGGTGTGGGGTTGCTAAGGGCTGCAGTGAGGTGAATACGGTAATGCGGTGCGAGGTTGCTAGGGGCTGCGGTGAGGTGAATACGGTAATGCGGTGTGGGGTTGCTAGGGGCTGCAGTGGGGTGAATACGGTAATGCGGTGTGGGGTTGCTAAGGGCTGCGGTAGAGTGAATACGGTAATGCGGTGTTGGGTTGCTAGGGGCTGCAGTGGGGTGAATACGGTAATGCGGTGTTGGGTTGCTAAGGGCTGTAGTGAAGTGAATAAGATAATGCGGTGTGGGGTTGCTAAGGGCTGTAGTGAAGTGAATACGGTAATGCGGTGTGAGGTTGCTAAGGGCTGCAGTGAGGTGAATACGGTAATGCGGTGTGGGGTTGCTAAGGGCTGCAGTGAGGTGAATACGGTAATGCGGTGTGGGGTTGCTAAGGGCAGCAGTGAAGTGAACAGGGTAATGCGGTGTGGGGTTGCTAAGGGCGGCAGTGAGGTGAATACGGTAATGCGGTGTGGGGTTGCTAAGGGCAGCAGTGAAGTGAATACGGTAATGCGGTGTGGGGTTGCTAAGGGCTGCAGTGAGGTGAATACGGTAATGCGGTGTGAGGTTGCTAGGGGCTGCGGTGAGGTGAATACGGTAATGCGGCGTGGAGTTGCTAAGGGCAGCAGTGAAGTGAATACGGTAATGTGGTGTGGGGTTGCTAGGGGCTGCGGTGAGGTGAATACGGTAATGCGGCGTGGAGTTGCTAAGGGCAGCAGTGAAGTGAATACGGTAATGCGGTGTGGGGTTGCTAGGGGCTGCAGTGAGGTGAATACGGTAATGCGGTGTGGGGTTGCTAGGGGCTGCAGTGAGGTGAATACGGTAATGCGGTGTGGGGTTGCTAGGGGCTGCAGTGAGGTGAATACGGTAATGCGGTGTGGGGTTGCTAAGGGCTGCAGTGAAGTGAATACGGTAATGCGGTGTGGGGTTGCTAAGGGCAGCAGTGAGGTGAATACGGTAATGCGGTGTGGGGTTGCTGAGGGCTGCAGTGAGGTGAATACGGTAATGCGGTGTGGGGTTGCTAAGGGCAGCAGTTAAGTGAACACGGTAATGCGGTGTGGGGTTGCTAAGGGCAGCAGTGAAGTGAACACGGTAATGCGGTGTGGGGTTGCTAAGGGCGGCAGTGAGGTGAATACGGTAATGCGGTGTGGGGTTGCTAAGGGCGGCAGTGAAGTGAATACGGTAATGCGGTGTGGGGTTGCTAAGGGCGGCAGTGAAGTGAATACGGTAATGCGGTGTGGGGTTGCTAAGGGCTGCAGTGAGGTGAATACGGTAATGCGGTGTGGGTCGGATGGGCTACGCTGGAGTGAATACGGTAATGCGGTGTGGGGTTGCTAAGGGCTGCAGTGAAGTGAATACGGTAATGCGGTGTGGGGTTGCTAAGGGCAGCAGTGAGGTGAATACGGTAATGCGGTGTGGGGTTGCTAAGGGCGGCAGTGAGGTGAATACGGTAATGCGGTGTGGGGTTGCTAAGGGCAGCAGTGAAGTGAATACGGTAATGCGGTGTGGGGTTGCTAGGGGCTGCAGTGAGGTGAATACGGTAATGCGGTGTGGGGTTGCTAAGGGCTGCAGTGAAGTGAATATGGTAATGCGGTGTGGGTTGCTAAGGGCAGCAGTGAGGTGAATACGGTAATGCGGTGTGGGGTTGCTAAGGGCGGCAGTGAAGTGAATACGGTAATGCGGTGTGGGGTTGCTAAGGGCTGCAGTGAGGTGAATACGGTAATGCGGTGTGGGGTTGCTAAGGGCGGCAGTGAGGTGAATACGGTAATGCGGTGTGAGGCGAGGTAGTTAACATCTCCTAGCCACCGTGATGGTGATGAGAGAGAGAGACACGCAAACTCCAAATACACAGCAGTAGGCGTCAGGGTCGGGATCGAACCCACGACCTCCTGCGTACCAGGCGAGGTAGTTAACATCTCCTAGCCACCGTGATGATGATGAGAGAGAAAGACACCGCAAACTCCAAATATACAGCAGCAGGAGTCAGGGTCGGGATCGAACCCACGACCTCCTGTAGACCAGGCGAGGTAGTTAACATCTCCTAGCCACCGTGATGATGATGAGAGAGAGAGACACACAAACTCCAAATATACAGCAGCAGGAGTCAGGGTCGGAATCGACCCCACGACCTCCTGTAGACCAGGCGAGGTAGTTAACATCTCTTAGCCACCGTGATGATGATGAGAGAGAGAGACACACAAACTCCAAATACACAGCAGCAGGCGTCAGGGTCGGGATCGACCCTACGAGCTCCTGTATACCAGGCGAAGTAGTTAACATCTCCTAGCCACCGTGATGATGATGAGAGAGAGAGAGACGCAAACTCCAAATATACAGCAGCAGGCGTCAGGGTCGGGACCGACCCCACGACCTCCTGTAGACCAGGCGAGGTAGTTAACATCTCCTAGCCACCGTGATGGTGATGAGAGAGAGAGAGACGCAAACTCCAAATATACAGCAGCAAGCGTCAGGGTCGGGACCGACCCCACGAGCTCCTGTAGACCAGGCGAGGTAGTTAACATCTCCTGTCCACCGCGTGCGAGGGAGACGGCGGAGTAAGAGGCTGGAGAAGTCCCACTCGGCTCCCCGCACCCCGAGCCGTGCGAGCGACAGACAATTAATCACGATCATTGCCAAGAGGGGGGGGGTGAGGAGAATCTGGGGGGGTGTGGGGAGTGAGGGGGGGGCAGGGGGGTGAGGGTCTGGGGGGGGGTGTGTGGGGAGGGGCTATGGGGGAGGGGGGGGCTATGAGAATAGGGGGAAGTAGTTATGAGGGGAGGGGCTGTGGGTGAGGGGCTGTGTGCAGAATGGGTAGTGGCTATGAGGGGAGGGGCTGTGGGGGAGGGGAGGGGCTATGAGAATATGGGGACGGAGTTATGAGGGGAGGGGCTGTGGGTAAGGGGGGGGGGCTGTGGGGGAGGGGAGGGGTTGGTGCCAGTGAGGGAGGCAAGGCTGGTTGGTTGTGGTTGGTGGTTGTGGTTGGTTGTTGTTGGTGGTGGTTGTTGGTGGTGGTGGTGGTTGGTGGTGGTGGTGGTTGGCCTGGGCCCTGCGGTATGAATAGCTCCACGTGCACGCGCCGCGTGAGCGAAGTGGAATATCGATTAGCGCTGCGAAGGGGAGGGGAGGGGGGTGGAGATGTGGGGCGTGATTGGGGATCGGTGGAGGTGGCTTTTATTGTTGTTGAATCAATGATGAATAATCATATTTTTTTATGATGATGATGATGCTGACGGTGATGATACTGCTGATTGATGATAATGATGGCGATTATCGATGATGAATAATCACTATTTATGATGATGATGATGCTGCTGATACTGCTGATTGAACTCAAAATCACCGCGCTCATCAATGGCATGGACGAAGATCGTATTTATATTACTAATATAATGAGCCAAGGATGTGTGTGTCCCGCGCGTGACGTCACTCCTCATGAGGCCCACCCCCCTCATGAATATTCATGAGCGGGCGGATTTTTACACTAACGCAGAGGAAGATAAAGCAAAATTAAGTAATGTATTACTCCCCCTCACCCCTCCCACTCCCTACCGCCTCATTCACAACACTCCCCTCCAAACACTCCCCCCCCTCGCCCCCCCCCCACTCTCTACCGCCTCACTCTCCACTCCCCTCCCAACACTCTCCCTCGCCCCCCCCCCGACTCCCCCCCCACCTCCCCCCATCACCCTCACCCCCCCCCCTTCCATTGCCCCCCCCCAACCTCCTCCCCCCTCCCCACACCACCCCCACATTTCCCCCCAATCCCTCCCCCAACTCCCATTCTCCCCAAACCCCCCCCCCCCCACTACCACCCCCCCAAACCCCTCCCCCCCCACCCCCCATTCCCCCCTCCCCTTTTCCACCCCCCCCCCCGCCCTTATCCAACCCCCCCCCCCGCCCTTACCCCCCCCCCCCCGCAGGCGCCAAGCACAAGGTGATGATGGAGGTGCAGAGTGGGGGGGGCACGATCCGCGCGTGCATGCGGCCCGCGGGGGGGCGGGGCGGCGGGGGGCGGGGGGGCGGGGGGGCGGGGCCCGAGGGGGGCGGGGGGGCGGGGCCCGGGGGGGGCGTGGTGCAGCTGACCCGCGCCTTCCGCTGCGAGCTCTGTGACGTCGTCGTCAACTCCGAGTCGCAGCTCAAGCAGGTGGGTGGGGGGGGTGAGGGGGTGAGGGGGGTCAGAGGGCAACCCCGGGGGGAGGGGTTCATTGGGTCACGCAGGAGAAGCGGGGGGGTAAGGGGGAGTGGGGCGGGGGAGAATGAGGGGGGTCAGAGGGTAGCCCCGGGGTGTCATTGGGTCACGCAGGAGATGGGGGGGGTAGGGGGGAGTGGATGGGGGGCTGGGTCAAAGGGCAGCCGCGGGGGGTCATTGGGTCACGCAGGAGACGCGGGGGGGGTAGGGGGGAGTGGAGGGGAGAGGGGGTTGGGTCAGAGGGTAGCCCCGGGGGGTCATTGGGTCACGCAGGAGACGGGGGGGGTAGGGGGGAGTGGATGGGGGCTGGGTCAAAGGGCAGCCGCGGGGGGTCATTGGGTCACGCAGGAAAGGCGGGGGGGGATAGGGGGGAGTGGAAGGGAGGGGGGGTTGGGTCAGAGGGCAGCCCCGGGGGGGGTCATTGGGTCACGCAGGAGACGGGGGGGGGTCATTGGGTCACGCAGGTGAGATACGGCTCGAAGGTGACCCAGGGTGCGAGCGAGTGAGTGAGGAGGGGGTGGACAGGAGGGTGGGGGGGGGTGGTGTAGTGGTCAGCGCTACGCTGCGCTACGAACCCGGCGACCCGAGTACGATTCCCGCTCACGACGATTATCTGAACCGGTCCTGGGCCTCCCCTAGGTCGACTCAACCTTCAAATGAGTACCTGGTGCGGTGTGTAAACATCGCCACCGAGGAGACAAAGGCGGCCGGGCGTGGTGTTGGCCACCCACCCCCTCGTGTGCCGTGCCGGCCTTCGTAGGTACTCGCTAACAGCACTTGCCCCAACAGTCTGTTGAGGCTATACGGGGGGATCTTTGTCTTTGTAGTTGGCTCAGGGCACGAGCGAGCGAGCGAGTGAGTGAGTGAAGGGTGCAGGAGGATGGGGAGCTGAGTGGAATTCTGGTCCCAGCGGTGTCCAGACCGGCCGGGCGTGGTGCTGGCCACCCACCCACCCAGCCCACCCACCCACCCACCCACCCCGTTTGCCGTGCCATCCATCACGGGTGCTGCTCCTCGCTGACGGCACTTGCCCCAGCAGGCCGTTGAGGCTATACGGGGGCGGGGGGGTCCTTTGCCTGTGTTGTGTGACTGTGACGATCGGTATGCGCAGCACGTGACGAGTCGCCGGCACAAGGACAAGCTGGCGGGGAAGCCGCCCAAGCAGAAGCTGGGCCCCTACAGCCGAGTCGCTCGCAAACCCACACACAGTCAGCACCCCAGGGTGAGTGCAGCACGCACACTCACACACTCACACACACACACAATCACACACACACAGTCAGCACCCCAGGGTGAGTGCAACAAGCACACACACAATCACACAGACTCACACACACACAGACTCACACACATACACAATCACTCACACACACACTCACACACATATTCACACAATCACACACACACAATCACACACACTCACAGACTCACACACACACTCACACACACTTACACACAATCACACACACACAATCACACACACTCTCACACACACAATCACATACAATCACACACACTCACACACACACAGACTCACACACACACACAGACGCACACACACAGACACACTCACACACACTCACACACACACAATCACACACACACAATCACACACACACAATAACACACACACGCAGACTTACACACACAATCACACACACAGACTCACACACACAATCACACACACAGACTCACACACACACACAGACTCACACACGCGCACAGACTCGCACACACGCAGACTCACCCACACATGCACAGACTCACACGCACAAAAAAATGACAAAGATCCCGTCTAGCCTGTAACAGGCAAGTGCTGTTAGCGAGCAGCAGCGATGAAGGCCGGAACGACACACGAGTGGAGTGGGTGGCCAGCAACCACGCCCGGCCGCCTTTGTCTCCCTGGACGCACACAGCAGTGGCGGTGACGTCACCACGGCGCTTGTGCCAGGCCAGGTGCACGTTAAGGCCGTGTCAAACGCCCGCCGGCAGGAGGTCACAGGACAGACCCAGCAGGTGCCACGTGTCGACCGACTGAGATGACCGGCCGACGCACCACCCGTGCCCCCTACCATGCCACGCACACACACACACAGACAAAGGTCCCCCGTGTAGCCCGTGCCCTTTGCCGCCCACCCCCTTCCCGTCTTGCCGCAGCCGTCCAAGCTGAGCTTCCCCAAGGAGTTGGCGACGTCGCTCAACGGAGGCTACCTGCTGGCCCCGCTCCACCCGTCCTCGGGGCTCGCCCCCGGCGTGGCCCACGGCAAGATGGCCTTCGCCAAGGAGCCGCTCAAGACGCTCGGCCCGCCGGGCTTCCTGGGGCCTCCGCTCACCGCGGCCGGAGCGGCGGCCGCGGTGGCGGCGGCCGCGGCGGCAGCGGCGGCCGCCTCGCCGCTCCACGCGGCGTTCACGCTGCGGCCCGGCCCCCCGACCTTCATCCGCGGCCCGGCCTTCCTGCCGGCGCTGCTGAGACCGGCGCCGGGGCCTCTGCGGACCCCGCACGGACACTTCGTGTTCGCGCCCTACTAGCGGCGGCCAGGTTGGCGGTGTTTGGTGGGGGGGTGCGGGGGGGGCCGGTTTGTCACTGTCGGAACAGGAGCGGTGGGTGCGGTGTGCCGGGTCCACGCTGGTTAGGCCGGAGTTGGTGGCACGTGGCTCGCGGTAGCCGTGCGTGGTGTGCCGTGTGTGGTGTGCCAGGCGCGGTATGCCGGGCGTGGTGTGCCGTGTGTGGTGTGCTGGGCGTGGTGTTACGTGCGTGGTGTGCCGGGCGCGGTGTGCCATGCGCGGTGTGCCATGCGCCCCAAACAGCTGTTGATGAAATTCCGGCGATCGGCGATTTAAGCACAAATCAGAAGTCGGGGCAATGGCTTCTGCTCCAACGAGCAAAAATGGGGTCTGATGGTGGTGGGAATTCCCCGTTGCTGTGGCGAACGTCGGCCATGCCTTGACACGACTGTTGGCTCCTCGCTGGTTGGTGCTGCTCATGGTGTTGACATTGGAGGGATGGTGATGGTAGTGATGATGGTGTTGATGGTGATGGTGGTGATGATGGTGTTGATGGTGATGATGATGGTGTTGATGATAGTGATGATGGTGGTGATGATGACAGTAATGGTGGTGATGTAGTAGGGAGGATGGTGATGATAATGGTGTGGATGATGATGGTGTTGATGGTGTTGATGGTGATGGTGTTGATGATAATGATGGTGATGTTGATAGTGATGGCAATGAAGCTGATGGTAATACACGAAGTAAACAACCCACTTGATACCCTTGCAAATGTGGCTACACACACAAAGACAAAGATCTCTCGTATAGCCTGTAACAGACTGTTGGGACAAGTGCTGTTAGCGAGCGCCTATGAAGGCTACACACGCACACGTGCACGCACGCACCTGAACGCACACTCACCGATGTCACTCTTGACCACCGTGACACAGCGCAGCGCACAAGCTGCCGCTATTCACGGAAATCATAATAACGACGACGACGATGACGACGATGACGATGACGACGATTTCGCCACTCGTCTAGGGCTTGAGTCTCGAGACTCGCCCTTCGCGAGGGGGGGTCCCTGCGGCACCGAGCGACGCTTGCGTCCGGACCGTGATCTAACGAGGGACGATGTCCGATGGATCTCGGAGTCATCCAACTCCGCGTGTTCGTGTTACAGGGGTGACCTTTAAAGCGGCGCTACTTCTAGACGCGTGCAATCGTTAGCAAAGACAAAGGCGCCCTCTCACTCCCTCCACCCCCGGTATAGTCTTTAACAGGCTGCAGGGGCAAGTGCTGTGAGCGAGTACGGAGCGCGTATGATGATCGGCACGGCCGCCTTTGTCTCCCCCAAGCTGCCAGTTTATGTTTTTGTTGATACGCACCGCACGAAGGTACGCATTTTAAAGGCCGAACCGACCTAGGCGTAGGGCTCACGACCGATATTTGAATATTCGCTGTCCCATTGATTGGGTGGTCGTGAGCGGGGTATCGATCTCTGGTTGCCAGGTTCGAAGCGTGCACCGATCCACACACGCAGAGAACTCGGTACGCACACAACAATAGCAACAGCAACAACAACAGCCTCCATTCGCCACTAAGTGGCGGTGACGTCACCACAGCATTTGTGCCAGGCTAGGTTCACTCCGAGGCGATCGCGTGGGGTGGGTAGCCAGCACCGCGTCCGGCCGCCTTTGTCTCCCCACACCGCACCAGGTACTCATTTGAGGCTGAGTTGACCTAGGGGAGGCATAGGATCGATACAGATAATCGTCACTGATGTTGGCAGTTGAGCGAGAATCAAACTCGGGATATCACACACAGCAACAACAACAACCGCCGTTCATAACTAAGTGGCTGAGACGTCACGGCGCTTGTGCCAGGCTAGGTGCACCTTGTAGATGCACAGACACAGCGACACGCCTGCACGACCCACCCACCCTCACCTCGCCCACACCGCACGCACAGCAAGCCATCGTCTCAGTCTGTAAATAATGTAAACAGAGACGAGAGTAATCATCATGACGACGACGACGATCACGATACATGACAGAGGAGGGTGTGTTGGGCGTAAGGGAACGTGTGTGCACAAGAGATATTTTTTTGGTTTTTAAACCACAGCAAGAAATATCACGCTGTCTCTCTCGTACGGTAGCGTGCCGTAGAAATCGACGGCACGCGTTCTAGATGACGATGGTGGTGATGGTGATGCCGCCCGTACAAGTCGCAATATTGTATCTCCTTCTGTATAAGCACACAGGGCGGCGTGCCCTACCCTCTCTATGTAATATGCAGCTGCGGAATCATTGCTGTTAATGATGATGATCAATGATGATCAATGATGATGCCGATCAATGATGGTGATGGTCAATGATGATGGTAAGATAACAAACAAAAAAGCACGGGGCGCCTCCTGTAGTAAGCACAGAGAACCTCCCCCCAGCACCGTGCCTCTCGTGCCCCCCCCCCCGCCCGCCGGCCCCCCCAACCCCATACACACACGGCGAAAGTTTGCGAGCACCCGTTCCCGTTGGTATGCGTTGGTGTGCGTGCAGGGTGTTCACTCTCGTGGCGTTCCTATCCCTACAGTCGCTGTCCATGGTACTGAACAGACTCTACAGCAGCTGTCCATGGTACTGAACAGACCCTACAGCAGCTGTCTGTGATACTGAACAGACCCTACAGCAGCTGTCCATGGTACTGAACAGACTCTACAGTCGCTGTCCATGGTACTGAACAGACTCTACAGCAGCTGTCCATGGTACTGAACAGACCCTACAGCAGCTGTCTGTGATACTGAACAGACCCTACAGCAGCTGTCCATGGTACTGAACAGACTCTACAGTCGCTGTCCATGGTACTGAACAGTCTCTACAGCAGCTGTCTGTGGTACTGAACAGACTCTACAGCAGCTGTCCATGGTACTGAACAGACTCTACAGCAGCTGTCCGTGGTACTGAACAGACTCTACAGTAGCTGTCCATGGTACTGAACAGACCCTACAGCAGCTGTCCATGGTACTGAACAGACCCTACAGCAGCTGTCCATGGTACTGAACAGACTCTACAGCAGCTGTCCATGGTACTGAACAGACTCTACAGCAGCTGTCCATGGTACTGAACAGACTCTACAGCAGCTGTCCATGGTACTGAACAGACTCTACAGCAGCTGTCCATGGTACTGAACAGACTCTACAGCAGCTGTCCATGGTACTGAACAGTCTCTACAGTCGCTGTCCATGGTACTGAACAGTCCCTACAGCAGCTGTCCATGGTACTGAACAGACTCTACAGCCGCTGTCTGTGGTACTGAACAGACTCTACAGCAGCTGTCCATGGTACTGAACAGTCCCTACAGCAGCTGTCCATGGTACTGAACAGACTCTACAGCAGCTGTCCATGGTACTGAACAGACTCTACAGCAGCTGTCCATGGTACTGAACAGACCCTACAGCAGCTGTCCATGGTACTGAACAGACTCTACAGCAGCTGTCCATGGTACTGAACAGACTCTACAGCAGCTGTCCATGGTACTGAACAGACCCTACAGCAGCTGTCCATGGTACTGAACAGACTCTACAGCAGCTGTCCATGGTACTGAACAGACTCTACAGCCGCTGTCTGTGGTACTGAACAGACTCTACAGCAGCTGTCCATAGTACTGAACAGACCCTACAGCAGCTGTCCGTGGTACTGAACAGACTCTACAGCAGCTGTCCGTGGTACTGAACAGTCCCTAAAGCCGCTGTACAATTGGTGACTGAATTTACCCTACAGCCTCTGTCCAGGGTTACTGAACAACAATATTCACGACTGTTTTATGTTGTACAATCGTCAATATGCGGAGGTGCGAGTATATATGAAGGTGCTTTCGGCCAATGGTTGAATGTTAATACGTGTGGGAAGGAAAATCGGAGCACCCGGAGAAAACTCACGCGTACGTGGCGAGCAGGCAACACATGGAGAGGGGACAGATTGTGTTTGTCCGCGCGTTGCTTGTACCGCCTTTCCCATGGCGAGCCAGGGCACGGCACCTGCTCGACCCCCACAATGTGTGTGCGTGTGTGACCCACCAACCCTCCCTCGCTGCTGCCTTCACCCGTTCTGTATTGCAGGCCACGTCGCGTAGCCACCACCGGGCCGACTGAGCAGTGTTTGTCCATAAGCCTCTGTCCAAAGAAACGAAGTCGCCATCGTCACTGCCGCTATTTAAATTGTTCGTATTCGACTCCTGTCCACGGCCGTGACCTTTTGCAATTGAAAGTCTTCCACTGTTGCGACGAGGCTCCCCTTCCACGATACTCTCCCGGCTGGTGCTGTTCAGCCTCTCCTCCCGCGGTTCCCGATGATTCCCGTAGGCAGCTCCTTCCAGGCTTACTGAGCCATGCAAAAAATCATCTCTCGTCCGCGGTTACTGAGCTCGTTATCGTTTCGCGTCTGTTCGTTGTGCGCAAGGGCCCCGTTGGCGCGGGCACTGAGGCGTCTGCGGAGCCTCTGTGCGTGGTTCGGAATTGTCGGCGCTACCCCAGTAAACAATGCCGACATTGGAGCCCAGCGTTAGCGGTGTGGGTTTGCCACCAACCGTTGGGACCAACGTTGGCGCCCGACGTTGATTGAACGTCGAGGGCTAACGTTGGGCCAACGTTGGGAGCCAACCAACGTGCCACGTTTACTGGGTATTAGAGCCACTGTCCGCGACGAAGAACCTCGCGCCAAACAGATGCCGCGTAGTGCAAGTGGCTTGTGAGAGGGGGGGCAGTGATGTTGATGCTGATGGCGATGATGATGATGCTGATGGCGATGATGATGATGCTGATGGCGATGATGATGATGCTGATGGCGATGATGTTGATGCTGATGATGATGTTGGTGGACGATACGGATGAGCTGCACGTGCATGCGCGTCGCGTCGCGGCGATGCGACGGGGCGCGTGACGGTGAGGAGGTTGAGAGGATGGAGGCTCCGTGCCGGGAGACGGAGACCCGATTAACCTGGTTCACGACACGTGGACAATCGTCGTCGCCGTCGTTATTATCATTAACAATATTAATAGTTTTCATTATTTGTTGTTATCTTTATTGTTGTTTTTTTTTTAACGAAACACATCTCGCATCGGCACTTCCCTTGCCAGGGAAGCCATTCTCAGTCGTAGTGTGACGAAGGCGCTTGCGCCATGAGCTAATAAACAAGCACAAAGATAGAGACAAAGCCCCCCCCCCCCTCCCAGACCCTGCACCCTCTCCCAGGTAGCCTTCGAACGGGCTGTTGGGGCAAGTGCTGTCCGCAAGTTCCGTAGCACCCACGAAGGCAGGCACGGCCACACGTGCCTGGCGATGGGGTTTGCCAGTACCACTCACGACCGGCCGCCTTTGTCTCCCCCGTCATTGCTAATGTTGTTGTCCACACACACCACAGTAGCAGCAGCAGGTAACTCACCTTTAAAGGCTGAGTCGACCTAGGTAGACTGGTCCGTGAGCGAGAAACGGACACGGGTCGCTGGGTTCGTAGCGCAGCGCGCTAACCACTGCGCCCACCGCTCCCCCGCCAACGATAAGCTCTACACAAGCACACACACGTGGTATGCGCGCGTGGCTGTCCACGATGTGACACTATCGAAGCCGGGATTTTACTCCAATACATTTGCTATATACAGTATATATACAGTATATACACAGATACAGTATATACAGTAAATATACAGTATATATACAGTATATATACATGCATGCTATGTTCAAATTATTTTCTTCGCATTTTTGTTCTTGTTGCTGTTGTTGCGTCGTGCCCCTCACGACCCACGTTTAGTTTCATGCCCCCCACCAAACCGCCCCCCCCCCCACTATACGCACAACGTTGCACTCACACACACATACGCGCGCGCTCCTGAAGCGGGGTGCATGTTAGCGAGCACCTATTAAGGCAACGCATAAAGGGTTTGTGCTCAGGTTTTCGGCGTGCTCATTTTAAGCTGAGCTGACCTAGGGGGGGGGGGTGCTCGAGCCAGTCTCCAGCACTTACTATAAGACAGGGCAAAGGGTTTGTGGCTCGTGTTTGGACGTGCTAATTTTGGGCTGAGCTGACCTAAGGGGAGGCCCGAACCAAGTCCAGACGTCCGCTTGCCCACGCGGTGATGTGCGATGTTTCATCGCGTGGAGATTTCTCCTCGGGGTCCAGTGTCGGTGTCCCCGTTTTTTTTGTTGTTCTTCGTTTTTCTCCGGCTCTGAACAAAATCCACGCTCGTGGCTCGCCCAGTGACTTTGGCCAAACATTGCCCTGGGCAGGGACTCTCCTGGCGAGCCACTGAGCTCATCGATCACTCGCCGCCGTGGCCAGGGATCAAACTCAGGTGGCCGGGTTTGTAGTGCGGCAGCGGGAGAAATAAAAAAAAACAGCAGCAGCAGCCACGCTAGAAACACACACACACACACGCGCGCGCGCACACGTTCATGTCGTCTGTATATCTTGATAGCTCTTATCAGCAGAAGCCTCCGTAGATCACGTGAATCTGTGTGGCCACCCCCACAGCCTCTCCCTGTGAAAACAGCGCTACAGACACCGCTGCTTTCTCCTCCTCCTCTCTCCTCCCTCTCATCCCTCCGCCCTCACCACCACCACCACCGCCCTCCCATCCCAGACATCCTGGCCCGGTCACTCCTTCGCCCCCCCACCCACCACTCCTCGTCTTCTTCCTGCACCGACAATCATCCTCCTGCTCCTGCCTGCTGCTCATCTCGAGCCGTCACCTCCTCGTTGTCCGTCTCGGAGACTGCCGTGCAGGCCTCCCCGTTCCTTCCTCTCTCTCCCCTCCCCATAGATTCTGCCCCTGGCTCTTCTCCCCGTGGTGGCGGCGGCGGTGGTGGTGGTGGCGGTGGTGGTGGTGGTGGCGGCGGCGGCGGTGGCGGTGGTGGTGGTGGTGCCGCCACAGTGCATGCTAAAGCAACGCGTGCTGCTGACGAATGGCAGTGTCTGCTCTGGGTGGTTATTTCTCCGCGTTTCTGTATTTCCATTGTTGTCGCTGTCGTTGCCCGATAATTCATTACGCGTATAACTTTTGCGTAACTCTACTGCAGTGTATATACTTGAGCTTAGTATATATACACACACACACACACGAGTCTTCATGCTATGCTTTGTTTCGCGCACACACATATATACTCACACGACAAAGGTGCCCCGTATAGCCTGCACACGCTGTTGGGGGCAAGGTCTGTTAGCGAGCAACCCGTTCGGGCCGGCCACGGCACATCAGTGACGGGGTGGATGCCGTGGCCGTGAATTCACGAATTCCCGTGGCAGGCGCTCGGTATGGGGGACACGGACGTTGGCACCGAACCCTCGTCCACCGACACAATTCTTCGTCTTCCAAGTTACCCACACGTCTGTCCCCACGTGGGCGACTCGGGGGGGAGGTGGGGGGGGAGGTGGGGGGAGGTGGGGGGGAGGTGGGGGGGGAGGTGGGGGGAGACAGGGAGGTGGAGGTGGGGGGGGGATAGAGGGCGGGGAGGAGGGGGGGAGGTGGGGAGAGAGGGGGGAGGTGGGGGGGATGCAAAGCGACCCCACGAATCCACTTTGCGTCCAGTCTCCCTGCTCAACATTGAGCGTGACCACATTCCACGTTCCCATGGCGGGGTGGAGGAAGGTTTGGGGGGCGGGCCCAGTATACACGCGCAGGAATCAACACCACCACCGTTGTCTGCTCACAAAGTGGTAGCGGTTTTATTGACCCAACGTACGGATGATGAGCTCAGTCGAGCCGTGTCTATAATTATTAAGGATCCGGAAGAAAGCAAAGCAAGTTTACGAGATGGCCTGTACAGCTGTAGCAGTACAGCAAGTAGGCTATAGCCTGTTGACCTGTCCGTGTCATCAACAGATATTGTAAACGTGCGTTGTCTCTAAATCAGCCACTGAGAATTCTGAATTGATGCGTGTACGTGTGTACGTTGAACTTCGTTCGCACCGTACGCAGCCAACCGTGCTATGTTTCCCATAGCAGCATTTGCCGACTAACACCCCCATAAGAATCAACGGCACTGCACATATATTATATATGACTTTTATATTATATGTTATAAAACACAGGCTTCGATTTCTCTGCGCGTCATCAGCAGCGTGCAGCCCCTGTTCAACCAGGGGCTCCACACTGCTGAATGAAAAATAAGGGCCAGCCTCCCCACCACCCCCAACCACCTACACTACCCCCCCCCACCCTTTTGCAACACGTCTCTCACCCCCCCACATCACCCACCCCGCCCCCCCCCCCCACAAGCCTAATTAAATCAAGCAACATACATTGTGCAAAGCAATACCTATACTGCTGTACTTTGATACAGGAGGGCCGTTGTAAGTTCAATAAAGTCCTCTTTCTTTGTGACATTTTGTAAACAAAACGTGGAACCTTCAGACTGCTTTTGTTGTTGTTGTCGTCTCTTTTTGTTGGTCACTGCAAATCGCCCAACCCCCCCCCCCCCCCCCCGAGTCTTGGGCGACAACTTTCGCGACGGTGCCACGCGGCAGATCGCCGCGGGTTGCAGCAGCAGCTGCAGCAGCGCGATGGACACGAGGTGTGACACCGGGAGCATCCAGGGAGGCATCGAGGCACCTGGGAGGACGCGGAGTACCTTGGGGCTCTAGGGGCACCTGGGAGCCCTGGGGGCGCTTGGGAGCCCTGAGGGCACCTGGGAGCCCTGGAAATACGGAGGAGCCCTGAGGGTACCTGGGAGCCCTGGGGGTGCTTGGGAGCCCTGGAAATACTGAGGAGCCTTGGCAGCACCTGGGAGCCCTGTAAACACCTGGAAGCCCTGGGGGCACCTGGGAGCCCTGACGGCACCTGGGAGCCCTGAGGGCACCTGGGAGCCCTGGGGGCCTTGTGGGCCCTGGAGGCTCGGGTGCGACGGGGCCGTTTTTTTCTGGTGAACCAAATCGATTTGCATATTTGCCCATGACGTGGCAACTTGGTTTTATTGGCTCTGTCGCTGGGTGGTGGAGGGCTGTGGTTACAAAACGAATTGCGAGTCGTATTTCTGTTCGTGTGTTTATCATCATAATAACTGAGAGTCCGAACGCCCTTCGGACGCGTTCGGCCATCATTCCCCCCGGCCAGCCAGCCAGCCAGCAAAACTTGTCTAATACACACTGGTCAACACACTTTTTCTGGCATAAGGTATTCTAACGGTTTTAAGGTAAATTTGGGGTGCTGATTCCAAATCTGGCTTCAGTTTTTGTCTATCACATTTTTGAGATATCAAATATTGCATTTTTTATAAAAACTGCAGAAGAAAAATATTACATAAATGTGGATATCTACATAAATTGATATTATAAACACACTATCCTAAAAGTGCAGCACCATATTTTAGCACTAAAGCAGTCACTGACTAGCAACAACTTGCAATCATAAGTGACAGTTAATTTCGGGTAAAATCAATGAAAATGGGGTATGCCGATAGCATAAAAATGAAATGTGATAGAGCAAATCTGAGATCCGATTTGGAATCAGCACCCTGAAATTAGTCTAAAACAGCCGCAAAAGTCCAGGCCAGAATTTTTTTTGTTGTTGACCAGTGATATCGTAGTTCAGTACATGATGGTACGGTCGCGCGTTATCCCGTGCATTTGTAGCGGAGTGTACTTGGACGCGCCAAAACGACGTGGATCACACATCAAGAGATGTTTTCAAAATGCCCAAAATCAACAACTCGCAGACATCTGAACATGCGATTTAATGAGCTGGAATATAAATAGATACAAATATAAAGCCCCCCCCCACCCGTTATAGCCTGCAACAGGCTGTTGGGGCAAGTGCTGTTAGCGAGTAAGCACCCTTTGAAGGCCGCCTCAGTAGCACCACGCCCGACCAGTCCGCCTTTGTCTCCCCAGCGATGATGTTCACACACCTCACCAGGTACTCTTTTGAGGCCGAGTGGACCTATATACACGTACGTACAAATATACAATGACAAACCAAAGCTCCCCCGTGTAGCCTTAACAGGCTATTGGGGCAAGTGCTGTTAGCGAGCACCTATGAAGGCCGGCACGGCACACAAGGGGGTTGGGTGGCCAGCACCACGCCCGACCGCCTTTGTCTCCCCAGTGGCGATGGTTACACCGCACCAGGTACTCATTTGACACTGAGGGGCAAGTGCTGTTAGGAAGCGCCTACGAAGGCCGGAACGGCACGCAAGGGAGTTGGGTGACCAGCACCGCTGGCGATGTTTACTCCACAGCGCACCAGGTGCTCGTTTGAGGCTGAGCCGACCTAGGGGAGCACTCAGATCCGATCCAGATAACAATCGTCGCCGGCGATTGGCAGCCCCCCCACGTGGCACCAACCACACCGCCAGCCACACCGCCAGCTCGGCAAGGTAAGGTAAAAGTTAAAAGGTAAAAACAACGAGCATACCTTTACCCTACCCTTGACCCTTACCTCATACAAATTACCCGATTACAGGGTAATTACTGGGGTACTACTACACATGAACAAGGTTTATAACGGTAAATGCTACAAGGTAGAGCGCTTTATCCATATAGAATACTCTCGATGATTCCAATTTTACACGCTTGTCGTTGTTGTTGTATCCTCAAATCTTGTAACTCAATTTTAACCCACTTCCTAATGTGGTATCGACTGCAAACTTGGTATACTTACGTCAAACTGATGACAATACTATATTCTATCAAAATAAATAAATAAAGTATATTTTTACATTATTTAGTATATGTTATGTTTCGGCTTGGGTCCAATTGTCCACGCTCAACTGACGTTGGCTGTAATTGGCCACGGTCCCTTACGTTATGGCAAGCTTCGGGGCCACTTCCTGGAGTCGTGGAGTTCTGCCATGACTAGTACATTTCATAAAAGCGTGTTTTAAAAAAAGTTTATTTTTAATATTATTTATTAAATGGAGGCCACGGACTGCGCCACGGAGCTTTTAGCGGTAAACAAGGCACCGTATTTACCGGGTAATACTTCGCGCTATCTTTACCCTACCGGGTAATTCTTGCGAGCTACCTTTACCCTACCCTTTACCTTACCCCTTGGCATGTCGACACATTTACCCTTTTACCCGGTTAAAAGGGTAAATTACCTTGCCGAGGCCTCCCGCCAGCAGCGAGGCACGGGACTCTGCCGCCCTCTGCTGCTCGCGAGGGGGTGGTGGTGTGGGTGGTGGGGGTGGTGGTGGTGGTGGGGGTGGTGGTGGTGGTGGGGGTGGTGGGGGTGGTGGTGGTGGTGCGTGGTGGTGGGGGTGGTGGTCGAGGTGCGTGGTCGTAGTACGTGGTGGTGGGGGTGGTCGTGGTGGTGGGGGTGGTGGTGGTGGTGCGTGGTGGGGGTGGTGGTGGTGGGGGTGGTGGTGGTGCGTGGTGGTGGTGGTGGGGTGGTGGTGGTGGTGGGGTGGGGTGGTGGGGTGGTGCGTGGTGGTGGGGGTGGTGGTGGGGGAGGGAGGAACTCGCTCACAACTCCAACGCCACCACGACGTCCACGCAACTCTGCTCACTCCCGGCTCGACGCCGCGTTGTTGACGCGGCGTCGCCGCCACTCAGAGGCGTAGCTAGAATATTTTGCGCCCGGGGACGAACTATAAAATTGGCGCCCCCCCCCGTTTAATCACATTTTCCTATTACATCGAATAAGGAATAACAATTGAAATTGTAATGAAACATTGTATTTAAAGAAGCAAATTTATAGAAATTATATTACATGGCTCACTCAGTTACTGTCGTAGACTGGTTGACAGTCTACAAAATATTATTTTTTCTTGATTTCACTGTCGCAAACTGTTCAATCACGTAATCAAAATCTTTTTTTTCCAATGTTTCTCTTTCAGCACTAAGAAGAGCAAGATCGCTGAGACGATCTTGTCCCATTTGAAGCACGCAAATATGACAAAATAAGTTTCAATTTGCTGAACGACCGCTCACAGCTTGCAATTGAAACTGCTATTGTTAATAAAATTTGCAGTGAAATTCGCAAATTCGGAAATGTCGTCTCCATAAATACAATAAAACCAAGAAGATCCAAAGGAGTTTCTGGTAAAACTTCATTCCGGTTACTGAGCAGCATTTTGCAATCTCCAATTTCTGTGAAAAGTTCGTGGCCATTGATGTTGGTGTAATAGAAATTTCCAAAATCTGTGCAAATTCGACGAATTGCATCGACATCTGTGTCGGATAGAAGAGTTTTGACGTCCAGCAGAAATCCAAAGTTTGTGTTCAGGTCTTTTAGTGGTAAAAACCGTGTTGACATTTCCTGTTGAAGTCGATAAAATACGCTCTTCGTAACGCGCACAATTTCTTCTTCTGCTGAAAGTCCTGCATCTCTTGCCAGTTCTCCTGGCATCTTCCGACGTCGCCTAATTCTTCTGTCCACTCGATCCCCCAGGCTGTGCGTCTTGTTTTGGCGTTTTCTACAGCAA